TAAATTAAATTTATAAATTTTTAAAAAATTTAAAAATTATTTAATATTTTATTTTATTAATTTAAATCAATATATAAACTTAATTTATTAATTAAAAATTTTAAATTTAATGATTAAATATTAAAATTTGTGATATAATATGAATTATTAAACAAAATAAATTTTAATAAATTTATTCATAAAAAAAATTAATCTCTTTTCATATTTAATATAGATCTATTAATATATATATATATTAAAATAAAATTTTAACTCGGATCGAAAGATCGCATTAACTAAACCTAAAATATTATACCCAAGTTTTCTCTACGAATATTTACCGAGAAGATCCCCAAATTGAATGTTGAAGAAGACGACAAAAGGAGAATTAAAAGCATAGAAAAAGAAGAAACGTTGAAATGAAGAAATAGAGAAGTGAAGCAGAGTGTGAGAGAGAGAGAGAGAGATGGCAGGGCGAGGGAGGTATTGTTACAAGGATGTGCTTCCATTCACGGCGTTGGTCGCAGTAGAGTGCACCAACGTTGGTGTCAACGTTCTCTTCAAAGCAGCAACTGAGAAGGGGTTGAGTTATTATGCCTTCATCGCTTATTCATTTGCCTTCTCCACTCTCTTTCTCCTTTTGCCTCTGCCCTTCGTCTTCCGATGGTGCTCTCTCCTCTTTCACATTTACAACATTCAAATCAATTCTTCCATCATGTATCTCATTTTTCTTATTTATTCAGGTCAAGAGGGCTTCCTCCACTCAACCTCTCTCTCATCTTCGCAATTTTTCTCCTTGGAGTAATTGGGTAAGTAAGACCCAATATTGCAATCTATTCATTTCTATTGATGTTAATTTATTTTCCTTATCATTGATTGCATTGGGTGATTTGAGTTGACACAGGCTTGTGGCCCAGCTTTGTGGATATCGAGGACTTCAATACACTTCGCCCACTCTCGCCTCTGCTCTCAGCAACCTTATACCGGCTTTCACCTTCGTATTAGCTATCATTTTCAGGTGCCTACGATCCCCTTTCTTCATCTTGCAAAATGCAAAAATATCTTGCTTTAACAGATATCCATTCTTTTTACAAGTTAATTTAAGTTCCATATGCTTTTCAAGAAAAATGATAGATCTTTCAAAAATAATTCCGAATAAATATAATATTAATTTAAATTTTAACATATTAAATTAAATAATTATTTTATAATAAATTTGTTATAAAATATGATGATTCAGAGGCTGTTTTATATAGAGTTTAGGGTTTTCAAACATTACATTCATTTGCATGGCTTCTGTGTTTATCTAGATTTTGAATTATACAAGATTCACATGTTTCGAGGATATTCAAGTTTTGCACCTTTACTGGATAGTAGTGATTTAGACCAATCAAGTGTGACAACTAACCTGAAATTTTAAGATATGTTAAAAAAATAATTAAAGATGATGATGTTTTTAAGAAATATATTTAACTTATTCTCCAGTTTTATTAATTGTGTCTAATAAGATTTATTGATCTAACTTTAGAGTTATTTTTCTAATCTATATATGGGGGAATTGAACATAATTAAGCAACTATAATTGAGAATTATACATAAACACACGTGTGTATATATATATATTTGAATAATTCTAGTCATACTTTTTTTTTTTTTTTTAATGAATCTCACCTTTTATTTACAAGTAAAACTTATAATCTTTAATAATTTCCGGTAAGCAGAAAAACTTTTCTCTCTTTATTTTATATTGTTTGAATGTTAACTTTAACATATCAAATGCTCTTAGACCCAACTAATACATTAAACGCTAATATTTTGAACGAATAATACAGATTGTGTCTTTGTCAAGTCGTCATATAATTGCATATTCAAATTCGGATTTGGTAAGACAAACTAAAATAAAAGACTCATATCATTGATTGCATCAGTTTAGGCCCCACCAACAAGATACTTTTTTGATAAATTATTTCTATAATAAATTTTAGAGTAAAATATTTTTTTTCAGTTCAACTAAAATTTCAAAATTCACTTTTAAATTTTAAACAAAATATTTTTTTTACCAAAAAAGCAAACATATTATTTTAACTTTTCTAATTAAAATATGCTATTTTATTTTCAGAATGATTTAAATAACACTTAAAAATAGCTTTAAAAGCTCCGTACAAATTACTTTGATAACAAAAATAGTATTTTTTAATTTAGGAAAAATTAAAATAAGACAAAAATTAAAACTAAAATTCAATTTGATTTAAAAAAAATGGTTTATCCTAAAAATTAAATAAAAAGTGCCTTAAAATTTAATAACAATTTAAAAAAATTATCTTAAAATTTATAACAATTTTCAAATACTCAATTTTTTTAATTACAACACTTATTTGAGTTAATACTTTTTCTTTTCTTATTGCACACATTCTATTAAATTGATTATACTGGAAAGACAATTCACCATTACCGAGAAAGAAGGGTCGACTTCATACTCCATTGAGTGTACTATATTATTTATTAAATCATTTTACATTTATATACATAATTACATATTATGTAATAAAAATCAACGAACGTGTAGTAAAAATCATGAAATATGAAAAATTATAAACTCATAAAAATGAATTATTTTTAAAGTTTAATATTTATTTTACATTTTCAATGAAATATATAATATTTATTCTGATATGAACATAAAAGGAAAATAAAAAAGAGCATAGAAAAAGTAGTAAATAGTTTAATAGAATATTGAGGATTAAAAAATATATATCAGGGGAACTACATTACCAATCCATTATAGTGAAAAGTTTTGATAATTTACTTTTTGTTTTTTGTTTTTTTTATTAATTTGATAATTTACTTTTAAATGTCGTTATCAGCCAACAACTACATCATTACCCATGAGACAAGACACAACAATACTAGTGCATCATGAACACACCACTTCGCACACTGTCTTGTGGATTCTTTATTCATGTCCATCTATTTTTGCTTTAAATAAATAATAATGAATTCTTGTCCACTAGTTTTCATACCCATGTGATACATAAATTTGTCAGATCATTTTTTGTACATATGAAATTTTTAGATATGTTCAATTTTATTTTTATGATGTTAATCCTCGAGATTTTATTCATAATAATATTTAATAAGTTGATATTATTTAAATTAATATACTTTTTTTTTAATAAATAAAGCAATATAATTTACATATAATGAAGATTGAACAAAATTAGTGAGTGGAACATGAGCGAACATTTGAGAGAAAAAGTGACACAAAATTCATCTCCGTCCGCTGAGCCTTGATTGGGTTAGGATGATGGGAATGTTCAAGAGATTCCCTTTTGTTATGCTTTTAGGGTGAATCCACTAGCAAGAAACAAGTTTAAAATTCAGTTTGAAGAGGGTGATCGGTTGAGGCCAAAGTGCTACATTGATGAAACTATTCTTCAAGAATTATAGGGTGCCTCAGAGAGATGCCATGATCGTGAAATTGCATGGGAAAAGTCTAAGGTTTTACGGGATGTAGAATAGACTCGAGTTTGAAACAATTAAGTGTTATGGGTACGTATTATAGATATTTAACATGATTTTTACATGATAAAGTTTAATCTATTTGAGGATAGAGTTAAGTTCATTAGTGGAAAACCTTTCATGATATTTGGTCATTATTTGAAAGTGTAACTTTTGGTGTTATATTTTGTCTTTTCTCATATTAGTAGCACGATAGTGTGAAGAAATAAGAAACACACAAAAGGGATTGAATATGTGTGCATAAATTTTAAAACCTGTTTTGCAAACAAGTAATTATAAGTTCATAAACAAACTTTCGTCTAAAATAAGTGTAAGAAAGGAAGAGAGCCTTTGTTCAAGATTGTTTTGACTTTGGGATAAATGCATCTTGAATATAGTCATTTGGTCCATGAACTAGAAGGTTTAGAACATTAAAGTCTTCAGTTGAAATAAGGCATGAAGCAAAACAGACTTTGTTGAACGCTTTATTGTTGGGATTGAAACATTCTCTTTGTAGTTGACTTTCATTTTTGGATGTTGTGTTGGGACTACTATACCATTTTGTGTGGATACACAAAAGAGAAAATAAAATATATATACATTTTAATTAATACAAATAATCATAACTTTTATCAACAATTATTTTTGGATGTTTATAATCAATACACTATCAAATGCAAAAGATGGCCTAAATCATTAAATGTGGGACGTGAATGACATACACCTAAACAATAAAACTTAGCATTACACTTGTTAAATTTACATCTTTGATAGATGATATGTTATTTAATAAAACATTTTTGTCTTCGTTTCTTTTATCAAGATAATGATTTTGTTATCATCAAAATTGGAGTGTTAAATGTTCTCAATCATCTTTGGTTCAACAATATGGTGGTGTATTTGGTTGTTGCTATCAAAAAGGATAATAGTCACTTTGGGGACATTTGGATTCTTTATAGGCAAGAAGGCCAATATAAGTTCAATATCTTGTTTTTTATTTTTTTTTTATTTTTTTTATTTTTTATGTCAAATTGCATAATGTTATGCTACAAATATCTTTAGGAACATAGTTATAAGTTTGTTTTGGAGTGGCTGATATCATTATGCATACTGCTCGCTGCATGATGTGGGATCACTTAAGCCTTCTCAATAGTAACATCTCTATCCATTAGACATTTGTATGGGGTTTTAATGATATTCCCTTGTCAAAGTAACAAGGTGGAATTTTTTCAAGATGTAGAGCATATAAATTTGCAGTGGGTCTCCATAAATGTGACCTTAGTGATTTTATTTTGTCAACAAATTTTCTTGGCAAAGGACTTGTATAAGAGGTCCCTTGATCTCATGATGCTTAGATATTGGAATGGGTGACCTTCAATGATGGTTGAAATTTCAAAAAGCCACAATGGAACATTTGGTACAACAACATTCTAACCATACTCTTATTCTCTTGCATTGTATCAATTCTACGATAATAAGAAAATCTTGTCCCTTTAGATAATAGGCAACGTGGTGTATGAATGTGGAGTACCCCAGTTTGGTGAAAAGATCTTGGAGGCAAGGTAATAACAATTTAACATTAGCTCTCTAGAATGTTTCCCAAAAATTGCTTGCTTTTAATGAAGAGGTTTTGTCAATATCTTTTGTAAATGAAGAATATTTGTTGGAGATCCTATATTATTTAGGAATAATGCCATAATAGTGTATATAAATGAGAAATAATCCTCATCTTATAAAGTCGATTTTGTAGGGTTGAGTTAGGCTTTTAACTTTCATTCTAAGATGGTATCATAGCATATCAAAGCTTATATCCTAGTGATAAATTATTGTTAGTGAGCTTATCAGGCCACCTGCTATCAAGCTATAATCAGATCACCCACAAATGTCCATTCTTACAAACTTCACGCTCGAGATGTCTAGTCCTCGGTATGAGGGGTGTGTTGGAGATCCCACAATGTTTAGTGATAAGGCTAAATGTACATAAGTGGGAAACAATCCTCACATTACAATATTGGTTTTATAGGGTTGAATTATGCTTTTAACTCAAATTCTAAGAACATTGAAGCCAATATTTGCAATATTCATAGAACCCTAGAGAATGTGGATTATGCCGCTTTTATTTCACTTATAAAATGATCTTCTAAAAGAATTAAGGATATTATTTTTGGGAAGAAACTTTTTAGTTTCAAAAGTCTAAAAAGAAGTGAATTAGGTTAGGGAGTTGTACCAATATCAAGATATCTTGTCTTCACTTTCTTCGATGCCTTCTATTTTCTACACTCTCTAAGTCGATTGTCTTGCTAAGCTGAGAGGGATGTACAAAAGGCACTTTGATGCTCAAGTAAATAATTCACTTGGTGTAATAAACGCAAATATATTGTGAACAGTAACTTTATTTCGATATACAATACTATTTATACTAACCGTGATGAGCCTAAATTCTCATGGGCCTTACCTTAAGATTACCAATTACGTAATATGATAGTCACTTGCTTTATACAGTAATTAGGCTTTAATCAC